TCCAGGGGTCCTCTGCAATCTTCTTGGCAGTCTTTGTGAACTCCTTTACCTCCCGACCAAACTCTTTGCGCGGCAAGGGCGCGACTGGCTTAGGGCCAGGAACCACCAATGCGCCAGCAGGGAGGTGCACCATCGGCATCTGGCCGAGGCCCTTGGAGCTCAAGAATTGCTTGCTCAGGATGACCACGTCTGTGCCGTTGGGCGCTGTGTTAGGGAAAGCCTCGCAGGAAACATACCCTCCTGCTCCTCCAACCTCCCCTCCTCTTCGACCTCCGACCTCCCCTCCTCCAACCTCCCCTCCTCCAACCCCCCCTCCTCCCCTGGGCGGGGGGAGGGGGGGGGGGGGGAGAGGTGGGGGGAGGGTAACTGTGCGCAATAATTGCAGGACATGCCCGAAAGACCCCCATGTCCAGCTCCCAATCATATGCCTCGCCCTTCACTTTGTAAATTGCCCAATCTGCGCGCTGCACGAATCTGAACGAGTGGTTTGCCGATTCGCCCTCTATCGCGATGGCGAGGCCAGCCATGCTGACCTTGGTGCCAGTGAAGTAGAGCCCCCAGTCGCACAAGTCGCGGATGACCTCCACCTGGGCATGGAGGGAGGACGAGGAGCAATACGAGGAGAGGACGAGGAGGATGGGAAGGAGAACGAGGGGATGAGGAATAGCAGGGAGGACGAGGGGCATCGCACGAAGCGAAGAGGGGGGCAGAAGGAGGGAGGGGGGAGAAGCGGGTAGGAGGTGGGAGGAAGGGGAGTGGAGGAGGAGGAGGAGGAGGAGGAGGAGGATGGAAGTGGGAGAGGGAGGAGGAAGGGGAAGAGGGGGGGTTGGGGCGGGATCTTTGAGTAGAACGGCCACGTGGATATCGCGGCCTTGCCGCCCGTGCAGGTCCCCCTGGGCCACAACCTGGACGCGCTCGGCGAAGTCCTCGCAGGGGGAGGCGCGACCGGCAGCGCTGCGTCCCCCTGGTCCCCAGCCCTCCTCTCATGGCCTGTTCCCTCCCCCCTCCCTCCACCTCCCAGCCCTCCCCTGCCCTAACCCAGTCCCCTCCCCCCCTCCACCTCCCCCTTTTTTTTTTTGTTGTGCAGTCCTCTGGGGTCTCCAAGATCTCTTGGCGCGCAAGCTCGGTGGAGATCACGCTGAACCTCCGGTCCACGCAATTATGCGTGTGTCCAACTTGCAAGGAGCCAATGGCAGCCGACCGGAATATTTGCTTGCTCACGAGGCTCGACAGAAACATGAAGAAGTGCTGGTTTCTGGCCTCCCTCGTAGTGTTGTCGGCGAAGACCTGGAGGTGGGCTGGGAGCCGGCGGCCGCGAGCCCAGAGAGCTTCAGAGCACAGGTCGAGCGCGTGCGCCACAAGCGTGGCCTCCATGTTCGCGTCCTTGGCCAAGTCCGTGTTCATGATGTAGTACTGCTCTGTGAGGCCTGGCACCAGCACGCACACGACATGGAGATCCGGTCTCCAGCACTTCTCGAACTCCTTGGTAGCCTCCAGGTTGCGAGGGACCCGAAACTTGGCCTGGTCCATGCCGTCAATGTACAGGGTCAAGAGAGAGTCCTCATTGGACCGAGGCTCTGGATGCGGCTGGCCCCTGCACGACTCCTCGCACATGCGGTCCAAGCGCGCGCACACGGCGCGGCCCCTGAATGTCGAGCGGACGTGCTCAACATGTGCCTGTCCAGTGGCAGCCTTCACTCCAGGTGTCATGGACAACCGCTTTGCCTTCGAGTATCTCGCGCATAGGGCACACCGACTCTTATCAGAGACTCTGAACAGAAGGAGCTCTCGCCAAGACTTCCGAAACACTCGTTCGAAGGTGGCTCGGCTCGCGTGCCCCTGGTCATTCATGCTCTGGTAGAAGCCGACAGGCCCTGGTTTCCAAACCCTGGGCAGACAGGCCCCAGCCAGCTCCACACAAAAACGCAGCGCAGGCAAGCAAGGCAACTGACATCAGGATGAGGAGAGGATGCGAGAAGGTGGCCAACATGGCAGGGCAGTAGCCTACGCCAGTGACCATTCAGCAGGGGGAAAACGGAAAAGGCACAAGCCATGAGTATTCATACAGCTCCAAGAGACGACCAGGAGGCAACAGCTTGGGGGTCAGTGGCAACTCGCCAGTCTCGTCCACAGCAGGGACAACTACAGGCACAGGAGTCTCCGACATGTAATCCACCACTGTTGCTTGCTGCTCATCTGCATTTACACTGGCGACCTTGATGTCGGCACGATGCTCGGCCAAGAAGTGGTAAATGTAGTTCAGCCAACTGTCGCAGTGATCCTCTTGGACCCTCACACGGAACTGGTGGTTGGGGTTTGGCCCAGGGGTTTCTTCCGGAAGGGCAGTGTGGCCATTGATCACGTATCTCTTGTACTCAGTCAGCGCTTTTTTGCCCACGTGGGCAATGCCTTTGAAGCATCTTGTGCACGCGTCACACTCCGGAGATATGAACCACCGCCAATGATCGCGAAGAGCAGCCACGCACGGGATCTTGCCACCCTGCTAGGACAGGGAGAAAGCCCACATGTGGCAGTCACGTGGAGGAGGGGGCAGAGGGGAAGAGGGGGAAGCAGTGCAGAAATGGAGGACGAGGAAGACATGGAGGAAGTGAAGGAGGAGGTGGAGTTGCTTGTTTCTTGAAGAGGGGGGGGGGGGTGGGAGGAGGTGGGGGAGGCGGATAAGGAGGTGGAGGAGGAGGTGGAGGAGGTGGAGGATGAGGAGAATGACACTGGCATAGCAGTAGAAAGCAACCTTCAACATGCTGGCCCTGACCAGCTGGAAGATCTCAGCCTTGGGGTCGGACGACTTCTGCAAGCGATCCGAGACAGTCTGGGCCACGAACAGGATCCCAGGCTCGGACTCGGCCGCGTGGTCAACGCACTTGGTGCAGACCAATTGCCTGCGTGGCTCCCTCTCCCCCTCTCTCTCTCTCTCTCTCTCTCTCTCTCTCTCTCGCTCTCCTCTCTCTCTTTTCCTCTTCTCTTCTCTCTCTCTCTCTCTCTCTTCTCCCCTCTCTTCTCTCTCTCTCCTCTATCTCTCTCCTGTCTCCCCCCTCCCTCCTCCTTACTCCCTCCCTCCCTCTCTCTCTCTCTCTCTCTCTCTCTCTCTCCTCTCTCTCTCTCTCTCTCTCTTCTCTCTCTCTCTCTCTCTCTCTCTCTCTCTCTCTCTCTCTCTCTCTCTCTCTCTCTCTCTCCCTCTACCCATCCCCCTTCCCCTCTACTTGCCATCCTGCTCTGCTGCCCTCGCCCCTTCCTCCCCTGCCATATCCCTCCCCACCTCTCGTGGCCCACATTCGTCTTTGCATGCCCAGTGACCCCATTTCAGATGGCAGCGGGTCGGGCTTCTCCCTGTCGTCGCCGGATGGCAGCTGGTCGCAGCTCCCCGAGGCCCCAGGGGAAGCCTTCGTCCCCTCCGAGGCTTTAGAGGAAGCTGGTCGCTTGCCCTTGTCCGAGGGCAGCTCCTCCTCCAGGGCGCCATCGTCGTCTGGAGGGAGCGGGTCCTGCTTCAAGGACCACACCGACATCGCGTCTCGAGACGAGGCCTTGGTGCCTCAACATTGCAAAACTGAAATCGGTAAGAACCGAAAATGCTGAGAGTTACACTCTATCTCTTGGAACACCTATTTCGGGCACTGCGAGGAGGTGTATTGGCAGGCAACCCTGTGCTAGGTGCACCACATCGGAGGCGCTGAAACGAACGTCCAGACAAACTCAACATGACCCACCTCCTCTACCTCCCCCTCCCCCTCATTCCCTTCCCTCATTCCTCTCCCTATCCTTGCCTCCATCGTTGCCTCGTACTGGTCCTCATCGCCTCCTCTCCACGTATTCCCCCCCTGTGACTTTGCCAGCAACGCGCGCTCCCCCTGCGCACGGATGGGGGCCCACCTTCTTGGCCTTGGCGGGGCGCTTCATGGGCGCCGCGCAAGCAGGGCGTTTCTTGGCGAGCGGCGGCATAGGACGAGAAGCTTGCCAGAGGAACGCCTGAGCTGCAACAGTTCCGAGAGAAATGAGGGCAAGTGCGACGGCAAAATAGGGGCTTGGACATCCTCGCGACGACCACGACGAACGACGACGACGACGACGAAGCAGGCAGCTCTACTGAGCCTGCACTGCGGCGACGACGACGACGACAAAGACAAAGACAAAGACATAGACAAAGACAAAGACAACAACGACGACAACGACGACGACGAAGACGACGACGACGACGACGACCCCACCTGGCCTCAGGCAGGGCCGACAAGTCTCAACGTAGGAGGATTGCCACGTACCTCTTCCTCCTCCTCCTCCCCCCATCTACCCATCTCCCTCCACAGTTATCCAAATTAAGTCGCACCCCTCGCACCTCGTATTCCCCCCATTCCTCTTCCTGTCCCTCCTCCTGACCCTTCCCCAGCCTGTCCCCGCTCCTGGGCATATGGCTCGTTGCTCCTGCTATGCCTTGCGTTCTGAGGTATCCAGGGAGCCCCCGCCGTCGCCACGGCTCGATCTGCCTCGAAATCCTGGCCCCGATGTGCCCCAGGATTGATCCAGAGGTTGATTTTGAGCCATGGCCCCTCCCAGCACCCAGAGGGACGAGCAGGGGGGGGAGGAGGATGACGACGAGCAGGGAGGGGAGGAGGAAGAGGAGGAGGAGATGAGGAGGAGGAGGAGGAGGAGGAGGAGGAGGAGGAGGAGGAGGAGGAGGAGGAGGAGGAGGAGGAGGAGGAGGAGAGGAGGAGGAGGGGCAGGAGCAGGGGGAAAAAGAAGAGGAGAGGGGGCCTCGCAGCGCGCGGCGCGCGCGGCGGCGCCAGGCAGCCGCGCTGCCTCTGAGGGGGCGCGTCGGCTGGGGGGCCTGGCAGGGGCGATGGCGCAGGGGGAAGAGGGGTTCCGGTCGTCGTCGTCGTCGTCGTCGTCGTCGTCGTCGTCGTCGTCGTCGTCGTCGTCGCAGCGCAGGCTCAGCAGAGCTGCCTGCTTTGTCGTCGTCGTCGTCGTCGTCGTCGTCGTCGTCGTCCGTCAGGGTCGGGTCGTCCGGGGCTCCGGAGGAAGCAGGGTGGAAGCAGGGTGGAGGAGGCACGAGGGAGGAGGAAGGAGGGAGGAGGACGGAGGAAGGAGGAGGAAGGAACAAAAACCCAGGTACCCTGGATGGAAGCAGGGCGGAGGAGGGAAGAGGGAAGAGGAAGAGAAGCAGAGGGAGGGAGGAGGAAGAAAAGCAGCAGCTGGCCTGCATGGCAGCAGCTGGCCTGCATGGCAGGCCCCCGGCGCGCAGCCCTGAGCCACGCCAGCGAGGTGCAATCAGCTGCTGCTGCTGCTGCTCCTGCCCTGCTGCTGCCCTTCCTCTCTCCTCCCCCCCTCCTCCTCCTCCTCCTCCTCCTCCTCCTCCTCCTCCTCCTCCTCCTCCTCCCCCGCCTCCTCTCCAGGCTTTGCGCCTCCTGCTGTTGCTCCTCGCTCCTGCTGCTGCTGCTGCTGTTGCTCCTCCTCCTCCCCCCTGCGCGCTGGCGCGCGCGAGCACGCCGAGCACGCGCGCATGCAGTTGGCAAATCCCCGAGGGAGATGGCTTCCTGCTCCCTAGTCATCGTATTTGTCGTGTTGTACTATTGTCGCTGCGTTACATATATATATATATATATGTATATATATATATATGTATATATATATATGTATGTGAATAAATACAGATATGTGTACATATACGTGTATATATATATATATATGTATGTGTATATGTACGTGCATACACATATATACCTATGTATGTATAATCCCATCAGCCCTCTGGGCGTAGGTCGTTCAGCGAACTTTGTATTCTCTCTGCCAATACCTCCTCCTCCCCCTGCTCGGGGGAGGGGTTTACCCCTCCCCATACCCCCTCCCCTGGACCTGGACAGGGGGGGGGGGTCCGAGGGCTAGCAGCGCCCAAGATGGCCCAAGATGGCTCCAAGAGGGCCTCAGAGAGCCCAAGATGACCTCCAAGCTGGCTCGAGGTAGCCCAATATGGCTCAATATAGCTTCCGACACGCATCCCAGAGGCCTCAAGACAGCCCCAAGACGGTGTCAAGTGTCCTCTGAGCCCTCTAAGGACCTCTCCAATATGCCCTTTTCGCTTTTTCGCTTCAGATGGGCTCTTGAGGCCTCAAGATGGCTCCAAGGCGGCCCCACGAGCGCCCAAGAGCATTCCAAGAGCGACCCAAGATGGTCCAAGGCGCTCTTTTAGAGCCTCCTACGGGGGGGGGTCCGAATTAAGGCCCCCCTCTCTTTTTGAGCCATGGGGCCCAAGACAGCCCCAGGAGACCCCCCAGACCCCCCCAAAAAAAACCCAAGAGGGCCCCAACACCCCCGAGAAGAGCCCCAAGAGGGCCCCGAGACCCCCCAAAAGAGCACCCCAAGAGAGCCCCAAGAAGGCCCCAAGTTGCCCTAAGAGTCTTACAATAACCTCTCACAACAACATATCCCCAAAGCCAGAGTTCCCATCCTCCTTGTCATCGTACGTTCTGTCCTATCTCCCTCCCTGTTCCTCGCTCCTCCTCCTCATCCTCCTCGTGCTGCCTTCCTCCTCCTCCTCCTCCTCCTCCCTCCCCCTTTCTCTTCCTTGTCCAGTTGGTGCCCTCCTCCTCCTCCTCCTCCTCCACCCCCTCCTCCTCCTCCTCCTCCTCCTCCTCCTCCTCCTCCTCCTCCTCATCCCCCATCATCCTCCTCCTCCTTCTCCTCCTCCTCCTCCTCCTCCTCGAGTGGATTGGGGGCGCCACGATCATGGTCGGGACTACGTAAGCTCCCTGACGACAAAGCAAGCTTTGCGAGGCGCGCGCGCGCACGCGCGCGAACCCTCACCGGGCAACGTTCACATAGCACCCAACACCAACAGTGCGACCCCCAACCCCCTGAATCCGACACACGCAGACAGCACATGCGCCCTCCCCGAGGACAACCCCAGGAGGGAGGAGGAGGAGGAGGAGGAGGAGGAGGAGGAGGAAGAGGAGGAGGAGGAGAAGGAGGAGGAGGAGGAGGAGGAAGAGGGGGAGGACAAGTTACGTGCGCTCACGCCACATCTGACATTCCACCTCTCCTTCCCACCTTCCCTTCCTTCATTGCACTGCTATGATGCGGCCTTTGCCTCGCGAGCCGTGCTATTTTATTAAATATTGTATTATCTGTTGTACATAACAATATTGTTCTATATGGCACATGGCTGCAATGACATGCCAAGCGCAGTTGGCCAGGTTTTCAATCGAGCCAGCTTTCCCCATTGATGCGCTACCACTGACCATAATGTTTTTTTTTGCGGTAAAAGATGCACAGTCTGATTTTTCGCTCCAGAGGGGGGGCGGGGGGGGCGCAACTCCGTGGTTCCTTTTCTGATCATATCCGTATCCTCGTATTCCTCATATTCGCCCTCAGCCCTTTAGAGGAGAAACGAAAAACATCCCCAATGTACCCCGATCTGCAGAAACCTGGAAAAGCTTGAACGCAAGTGCGGCAACACATAAGGACGCTCACGCGACCCCCCCCCCCCCGAGACAC